ACACTCGAAATGTCATTTCTAAGGTTTTATCACGCGATGCCGTTTATGTCGTCATCGAGAAAAGGCGAAATGGATCTCTCCATCGTGTGGATAGCACACACACAAATCTTACAATAACCACAACAGGTACGTTAACTAGGTGACACACACTCACAAATACTTATCCACGTCTGGATTAGGTTTCAGACTCTATTCATGTGCAGGTTCACCATATTCGCTGAACTTCAGCCACACACACACTCCCCTCATTGATTCAGACTAAACAAGGAGGTATTTAGGGTCCCTACGCTATTCACTCCTACCCTCTCAATCATAAGTTCTTATCTATTTACCTCTTATTCTGAATTTTTAATTGATCATTTCACAACCTCAATTATTTCTTTTGCTTTCTGTTTTTAACTTTTTATTTTATTTAATTTTTCTTTTCAATTTTTCACTTAATTAGGAATTTTTTTTATTTTTTAATTTTATATTTCATCAGTTCAAATAACTCTCAGTCCATTAGATCTGTTTTCTGGTTTTGTCTTCCTCATAGGGTTCCAATTGCTTAGGTTTACTAATGATAATTTGGGTTCTGTTTTTTTATCGAAAATTAGGTCAATGTCCGTTCAAATTTTAAAATTCATAATTTTTATGAAATGAATATACTTTTCAAAATTCAAACTCGATTGAAATTTAGAAGTACTTACACTCTTACGTGTATTTCTGGATCTGTCTTAATGTTCTAATTTTTCTATACATACGATATAAATTAATTAATATATTTTGAAATATTAAAAATTAATTTAATCGAATTACAGATTTCAGTCACCACCCAACGGAATACCCGAAATTATCGGGATCCACACACGAAAAACCTTTCGGCTTCCCGTTTGGCGAATCAAATTTTTGTTTTTTGAAAAAGACTTTTCACCTTCCCAGATAGTGAATCGGAACCCCAAAATGATGGATTGGGTTCCCATGCTCGGGGAAGACCCTTTGGCTTCCTAAATAGGTTGGCTTCCCCACACCCGAGGAAGGCCCCTCGGTTCCTGATCAGGTGAGTGGCCCAACTGAGCCTGTGCAGCCAACCTGACACAAGCCTCGTTCCACCACCGTCCAAACCATCACCCAAAACACATAAACAAACGATTTTACCTTCAGTGCGAGTGGTTCAGCCTTGGGTTGGCTCCCAGTCATCTTCTCTCGGTCACCCCCGTGACTCTCTAGCTTTCAAACCTGCACACACACACACATGAATACGCGTTTGGTCAAAAACACACACCGAAAGAGGAAAAAGAATGCACCTGGCTCGGGTCATTGCTCGAAAAATTTGAACAACCTCAGTTTTGGATTTCGCCATCAGACAGTGCTCCTCGACTGCAATTTCCTTTCCTTCCCTTCCCTTCTCTTCGAATTTTCGCCTCTGCGACTCTCTCTCTTCTCATCCCCCTTTCTTCCTCTTCCCACTCGGCCACACTCTTTTTCTTCCCTTCCTCTCTTTTCTTCTCACTTCCCCTCTTCCTTTCCAGCCTCTCTCTTCTTTCATTTCGCTTTTCTCTCTCTCGGCTTCCCCGCGTGAAACCCTCTCTTCCTTCTCTCCCCGATCGCCTGTCTCTCCTTCCTTTCGCTTTTTTGACTTCTCTCTCAAATGAAGAAAACCCTAATCTCTTTCCCTTCTAGACCCATTCTCCCAGCCGTTGGATCTCACAAGCTCGATCTGAGTCATCTGTTTTCTTTTAAATCTCCTCCATTCGATTTATTTCAGCAGTCTGATCTGGGCCGTCCATTTTTTTTATTTTCTTTGCCCCAATCCACTTCTTCTTATTTATGTTTTTATCTCATTTTTTTTTCATTTGTTTTCATTTAAGTCATTCAATTTAAATAACTTTCAAAATTCTTGAAATTCTTTCATTTAAATATAATTTTTAATTTTTATTCATTTTTCTTATTTTCTTACTTATTTGGAAATGGATGTTACACTTTAGCTATTATACACATCAAAAGATTAAAAAATTGAGCTGACAAATGGGATTTTAAAGATACAAAAACCTAATTCTCTTTCTCTTTTTTTTATTCACTTGCATATTCATAATCTTATTAGTTTCTTTGAGAATTTACCATCCACTGCCTGTTTTCTCAAGCACAGAAGTCCTGTTAAGCTTATTATGATCCTCTTCAAAGCTCCATACTTCTGAGTACTCAACACTAAGATATCACCTATTTAACTAAACTAAAATGTTTATCATTTTGTTTTTTTTCTTCTAAGTGACAAATTTGAAATTTAAATGCTTCTGTTGTGATGTCTCCAATTGATTTTAGATGGTGAGCGTGTGCAAATTTGTAACAACTTAGAGAAATTGTTGCATTTGAATTTGATCAATGCAAGCTATACTTTACACATTTTTTCCATAATAATTTGAAGCTAGTAGTTTGAATTTGCTTGGTATTTGTTGCCACTTCAAAATTTTTATTTTAATCAATCTCAAGCTATACATTTATTATGCCAGTGAACAACCAAAATCACATACCAATAAATTGTGGATTTATGTGAAAGAAAAAGAAAAAGAAAATGCACATAATAAAACAAATAAAGGCCTCGAAGTTAGGTTAACTTTATGATATGGGAATTAAAAAAAAGATAAGTTAGATTTAGATAATACAAATTAGAGAATGAGCACAGCCATAAAAGAAGAGAAGAAACATTCACATCAAACTACAATCAAAGATCTTGCTTTAAATGCCTTGAAAACTAGGCACTTATTCCATTTGTTGCTCAAATAGAAGCATTAATTCCAATTCTATTGAATTTGCAAATAAACAAATGAGAGGTTCAATTGGAACAAAAGCTGGAAAATAAAAACTTTTTATTACAGAACTTTGAGGTAATGGTGTCAAAAAGAAAAATGATACTTGTGAAGTATTTAGAGAACTATCCATGCTCATTTCCATAATTCTCCCTTAAAAAAAGAGTTTTACCTTATTTTCGAACTCAAGTTTAATTAGGGCAGCTTACAGATGTTTTTCTTGGAGGGATATGCCTTGTCTTTCCTTCGTTGTTGACATATTTGCTCAGTGGATCTTTCACCCTTCAATAAGTGATCATTCCTTAGCTCTTGCAGCTTTCTCTTGTGGTTTTTGTTTCTTCTATGAGTCTTTAACGAACTTTTTAATGAGTAATTTCCTATTATGATGGAGCAATATATAATTGAACTTGTTATTTGTTTGCAAGAGATGATCTTCATGCAAGTTACTGTTCAATTTACCTTGAGATTTAGTTCAAGTGATTGCGTATTCCCTATTGAAATTGTTTATTTTTGCTTTTTGCTAGCTTAATTGTTACTCATTTCCCACCCACTGGTCCAAACAACGAATATTTTTAAGCTTTTCCTTTGTTAATCCAACTTTTTTATAGCGACATTGCAAATTGAAGTCCTGTTGACCCTTTTTGGGCCAATGCCAAAATGTCATCCTTGCAATCCACTCTTGATCCTCGTTGAATAAGACCAATTTCACAAATCGCTTCCCCAAGGGACCAAGGTCTTCGTGGTTGGAACTCCACGATTTATCAGCCCAAAAACCCCTCTTCTTCATCCTCTTTTGTTATCACTTTCAACTAAACGGAGAGATCATAAGGCCAAATAATATGGATTTCTTGAGGAAATCTAGATGACTAACAGTTTAGAAAAACTTGAATTGGCAAGAAATTTTTGAACAACAAAGGGATTATTGAGAATGTTAAATTGTATTTTTTTTTTCTTTTCTTAATTGAATATCTTTGAAGTCTACATTATTATGTTTAGTATCAGTTAAAGTATTATCTAGTCAAATATACTTATTTGATGTGGTAGAAGAAATACATGTATATATCATGATTCAGTTGTAAAGATCCTCAAATTAAAAACTTTTGTTGTATTAAAGAGTTGTGTTTAGCGGTAGCCCGATGATTAATGATAGAAAGGATATATATTTTGTATTGTAATATTTCATATTAATGTGCATTATTTTTAATCTATGAATATAATTTATAAAAAGAAAAAGGAAAGAGAGAGACAGAATTCAAATGTTTAAATTTCAGTTTTGATACTTAGTAAGTGATTAATCACTTCAGAAGACTTCCATGAAAAGATATAAAAAATTAAACAACTATTTTTCTATATTCTAGTAATAAAGTGAATTTAATCAGTGATCCAACCAGATCAAAACTTGAAAAACGAAGAAATCCAACTAGTATGCATAAACATTCTTGTTGACTATCTTGATGTAGAAATATAATCCTTAAATTAAGATTCCAATTGTGAAATAAAAAAAATCTAAGTTTTTTCAATCCAAAACTACAAATTGAATTGAATTAAAATTTGAAATATAAGTTATTATTCAAAATATACTGTTATGTACATATGTATGTATATGTGAAATGGTAGCTTATAAGTAAATAAAAAATTAGTTAGATCTAAATATAAGATCTATAATAGATTTCAATTTAGTTGTTGGTAAAATTTGAATTATTTTGTCTCTGAGTTGAATTGAAATATTTAAATTTTAAATCGTAATTTTCTAATAACAATGAACAAATTAAGATGATAAAATAAAACAAATTCAAAAATTCAATACAAAATTCTATTTTCATTTTTCTTCTTTTCCTTGTTAATTACGCAAAAATTTATACAGCAATAAAAACATACATAATTTTGCGTTTACCAAGTCAACTATATCCAAACTTAGAATCCAATTACGGATGATCTAAGATTTCCTAAGTAAGTTCTAAGATCTATTTTTCTGTTTCTTTTTCAGTTTTATTTATTATCTTTTAAGAAAAAAAAAAGAACTATTATAGTTTTTGCAGTTAATAATATAATTAATTCTCGAATATAAAACATGCGTTGGCTTTTCCAAATTGAAACAAACTTTCTCCTCCACCAATCAACCCCGATGCAACGTCTCCTTCCCATGCAAACCCTAAAACTACTCCACATTCACCTCTCCACTTCTTTTGCCATTGTGACGACCCTCATTTTCCCATGGAGGGGCGGGTCTCTCCTTCCACCGCCCCCGCTGACGATGACAAACCCGATGACCCTCCTATCTACTCACCTATCTTCCGTCAAATGACAGCCCCTGTCCATCCCACCTCCGCCGCTGATAACCCTTCATGGCGTAGACTTTATTCATTCAACCCTACAAACCCTTCTGCTCATTTGCGTACACCCACCAACCCTAATGACCCTTCCGTTAACTGGCGTAAATTATCAGTTCATTCTCCTCTCCCTTCGCCTACACCCGCCAACTCTATCTCAAATGACCCACCTCGTCACTGGCGTAGACCTTCCCTCAATGGCACCAATCTTCCGCTGGCTCCGCCTCCCGACAACCCTCAAGAATTAGAAACCTATGTCGTCCAGGTCCCCAAGGATCAAATCTACCGTGTCCCACCGCCAGAAAACGCCAAGTATGTCGAACAATTCAAGAATACAACCAAGAATGAGAGATCACCTCATTGCCGGCGGTTCTTGTGGGTTTTCATAGTGGTGATTGCTCTCCTTATTATGATCGGAGCCATTGTTGTGACCCTGAAGGTTGTGTATAACCCAAAGGCTCCGACTTTCACCATTGTCAAACTTAGTCTCCAAAAACCCATACCCAAACCATCATATGACACCCAATTATACAAGATATCATTAAAAGTAAATAACCTGAATGAAAAAACTGGGTTAGACTACAATGACGACGAGGGTGGTGGCGTCAAGTTATATTTCAAGAATCACAAGCTTGGGGAAGGGAACTTTCCAGAGATTGCGCAAGATGCCAAGGCTTTAACCACCATAAACTTCGAGCTCGCCGACGGCTTGATGCAAGCGCCCAAGAGCAAAACCGCATTGCTGGTGCTAAATATGAACGTGAGATTGGGTATCCGGGTCGGGTCATGGATATTGTGGTCCAAGAATTTGGGTGTCACCTGCGATATGAAGGTTACCGAATTGGGGGTTAAAACGACTATTCTGTCGCAAAAATGTCATAGCCAATTCAAATGATGATCGCTATATATAGGGAGTTGATGGAGACGATAATGATCAAATGCATGGGGGGTCTGTTCGTGGAATTCATCTAGGAAGAACGTGAAGATATATATAATTGATATGCGATGAATGAAGACATTATAATGTTGTATGATCAACATTCAGGTTTTACGTTTTTAAGAAAAAATTAATTTAATTAGAAAAACAAATTTGAATGTTTTTTTTAATCATGAATATTGTAATGCATTCCTCGTTCTTAAGTTTAACCACGACCTATACTCTTGAGTAAGATTTTTTCGTTAGCAATTAATTAGAGATTGCTCTTAAGAGCTCAATATTTCTTCCCATTGTTTCTAGAATTTGTTCATATTTATTCAATAAGTTGTCACAGAATAGATTATTTGTTCTAAACATTTTAATTAATTTTAGCTATATAGAATTAATCTAATGTCCAAAACATTAAGAAATTCAACGATTTTGAAATTCATGTTCTGATCTCTTCACAACTTCAAAAGGCTGCCAGTCCATATAACAATCGAATAATATTCACTTTTTCCCAGTTCAAGATGCAATTAAACTTTAATTAGAAATACTAAAATTATTTCAGCTAATTTTTTATTTTTCCTTTATTATTTTTATTGAGTAATTCCTAGCCCATATTTCCTACGCCCTAATTTTTGGAGCCCAAATTGATGTCCACCAATTTTTTTAAGAGGAAAAAAAAAAAAAAAAGCATTTAATATTTATTGGCTATTTTTTTTTTTTTAACAAACCAAACCAAAACGAACTTAGTTAATTAATTTCATAAATTTATTAGATTTAAATATCTACTTCTTAATTTGGTTTCTGTTTTGTTTGCTTGCTTGCTTGCTATTCGTTAAAATGAACAAACGGTGTAAATTCTCATGAAATACCAAAGAAAATATAGTGTATGAGTTCGTACATAATTAACAATCTTGAAGTAATTAGGTCTTGTTATCTCTATGTTGATTACTCATTTTATATTTTACATTATAATTAGAGAAATTTTTGGTTATTACTGAACGATTTAGGTCTTCATATATTCCTATATAATTATTTTTATATTTTTATATTTATTGTGTGATTGCCCACGCACATACTTATTTCTTAACGAAATAAATATATATATATATATATATGAGATAAAGGTAAAAATCATACACCTCTATTATTTACTCAAGTGTTACTATCATATAAAAATTAAGAAGATGTTTTTTCTTTTTTTAAAAAAAAAAAAAAGATAAAGAAAACAGAGTAGGATTAAAGTAGAACATGAAAAACGCACGCACACACACACACATATATATATATATATATGTATATAAACAAACAAACAAACAAAAAAGTGATAATGCATGTGTAGGATATTTCAACATAAAGCAAGGGAAGTAGTTTAAAGTTAGTGGTACTTGAAAAGAGTGTTGGATTAAAGGTTGGAAACTTTAAAGAACCATTCACTAATTATTAATACACAATGCCAACTTTTCCCCTCGACCAAAAAAAAAAACAACAAATAATATATATATATATATATATATATATATGTACGTATATGTTCACTTTACAACTTAGTAATAATGGAAGTTTTTAAAGCACCTTCTCCTTTCTCTTCTTTTTCTTTCCTTTTAACCTGCACATGCTCACTTCTAAACTATATATACATATAAAAATATCTATACACTGGTTAACTGTACTACATTACTTTAAGATGAGAGTCTTAAAATAATGTTTCATTTTGGTTCAAAACTCTGGAATTATATTGAAGTATTCTGCGTCTATCTCTATAATATATATGTGTGTGTGTATATATATATATATACATGAGTGTGAGTGTGTATTTGTACATAAAATTAATTATGTTCGATGAATAGTGTTCAACTATAATGGGTATTATATGTGTATCTATATATAAGTAATTAACTCTTACTTTGACTAATATGAAGCTGGTTATACTACTCCTGCAATATCTGTAGTGTGTTTTGGTTTGTTTGTATAGGTATTATTATATGATTACAATTAGTGTAAAGAATTCTATTGGGAGTTCGATAGCCTTTTGCTAATAGCGACCCATTAATTAATATAAAATATAATTATAAGATCTTGGCTGTAACCCAAACACAACACCCCGTCCATTTAACACTATATATATATATATCTCTCAATCTTATTATTGATTTCTATTTGCGTGCATTAGTGTCAAATTATTTTTTTTAATCTTTTAATCAACCTAAAATGATTATCATGATTACTATCACTTTTAAATTAGCTTTCATTTTTAATTTTTATATATATATATATATTTCTTTTGCAAAAAAAATCATAGTTCATTTAAACTCATTCTATTATTCTAAAACGAGGTATTCTATAAATAAAATTATGCATGTCAGATTGATGGATATCAGAAAGTATAACTTAATATGAATACATGGAAATTGTCTGGAAAATATTTCAAATTTTTTTGAAAAAATAAATATTTATTTCATAAAAATGAACCTATATATATGTACGTATATATATGGTACATTGCTGCTTTAGGTCGGCTCCTTTAGTTCATGGATCAATATATTTCATACAGTCTGACAAGATATGAGAAACCTACATGTATGCATCTGTTCCCCATTATTAAGGCATCTAGGTCACATGGATTCCCATGTGACCAAACGAGCTAGGCACATTAGATCAACCATATGTATATGCCCAGTCAATATATAAAAAAAATAAAGAATATTACACTACAACTCATATATAGATCACACGTATAAAGTACATGTATGCTATAAAATTCATGTCGCACGTATAATATATAGTTTTTGTATCTAGACAAATTCAGAGACAGCATCCAATGACTGATGTGGCTCGACCCTCGATGCAGGCTGGGAGCGATTCTCAAGGCCGGCTACACACGTGTCAAAAACCCATTGCGTGTAATGCTATACACACGACACGCATGCCAGAGGACCATCCCTAGCCAACATGAGCTCTGGTACTGCCAATTGAAAAAGGTTCAACGCCATGTTTTGTATAAATATAATATATATATATATACATATAATTAGCCTTTAATTAATCTTTGGTATCTGATACATCATAAAATATTTTCCTACAAGTGTAGAAATGCATGTTTGGGTTGGTGGGAGCATTGGGGATTAGAGTCATTATAACCTAGTGACTACCTCCTATATAAATAGTATTATTTTATATATACAATCATTTTGAAAGGAAATATAATGTCAATAGTTTTTAATGGATGGGCCAACGATACACTAACTTCATCTTTTAAATATTATATATATGCATGTAAATAGAATATTGAGCATTCTGTTTAATTTATTTGTATTAAAAAATTAAAAATTTTGTTGCTTGATTAAATCAGGATGAGTTACGCTGCTGGCTCACAAAATGAAATAAATTTAAATTTATTTTAAAGAATTGATTCGGGAATCATAATGTGTTTATCTTTCTCCTTCACAATATGATCAAATATCAAAAAGTAGTCTTAATAATTGTTTTGCTAGTCTACTCCATTGTGCATGTGCAAATTTAAGACATAATATTATAATCATCTTTGTACAGTAAATCAAATTTTTTAGAAACCTGGTAAAGTTTTAGAAATAAATAATGATAATAGGAGTACAACCTATATGTGATTTGATGTGTTGCTCTTAATAGGAAGTCAAACTAAACATTCTAAAATATAATTGTCCTAACCAATATCCCAATTCGATGATTACTTAAAAACTAAGAAAAAATTACACCGTAAAAAAAATAAATAAATAAATATATCAATAGACTATAAAGTGCTTTTTCTTTCATGAAGAAAAAAGAAAAAGGAGGAAAGGTAGGTAGTTTTGTTGGATTGGGGGGGTAGGGTTTTGTCATTTGTGCCAATAATTGAAGGGAAACGAAGGCATAGTTTAATAGAGTTAAGGGCACCAATGATGAGAGTTTGGGTTGAATCTAGTGGATTCCATCTTCCCACTACACCCCCTAAGACAAAAAAAAAAAAAACAAAGGAAAGAAAAAAAGAGAGAAGGAGGGAGTGGGAGGGGGAGGTTGGGACTTGGGAGTGCATATAATTCCAAAATCCCCTTACATTTTCCTTCACATGAAACAAACCTTTTTAAGTGGATTCCAACTCCTCATTTCAACCATTTTTCAATAAATTAATTCCTCTCTTTCTTCCTTACCTAGTGCCTTCGTTTTTCCCCTTTCCATAACCTAACAACAAATTTTCATATATGCCTTTCCTTATCAAGTAATATAATCATAATTATTATCTTAATTTTAAGCTAAGAGTAATTGATTTATTAAGAGATTAAATAGTAAGATAAAGTTACATAGATAATTTTGTGGTGCATGGTCTATATTTTTTATTAAAAAAATAAAATTCTAATCAGTTGGTCTAATTATGTTTTAAATGCTTGTTATTAAATTTTAGTAAGGTTTAAATATTATTTTTAAAGATTATATAATATTTTCATGTATTTTAGAGAATATCTTATTATACTTGATTTTATCTTATTATCATTTTAATTATCATTTTTATCTTCTTAACATTTATTTTTTAAATTTATAATGAGCTTTTGATCATTTGAGAAATTTTGGCTATCTTTAAATATATTTTAAGGCCATACTAACTGCAAGTTATTAGATATAATGACTCAGTTATACTCTTTCATGAGTTAATAGTTTTTTTTCCAGCTTCGTGAAAATATATGTAACGGCCCCGTAAATAAAAGGAAATCTATATATTTATTCTAAGTACGGAAGCAAAATAAAATAGATTATGATTAACATCCCTTATACAATAACCAAAACGAATTAACGTATGAAAGAATAAACTAACTTAAAGGAAATACTATGAATGAATGCTATAAGGAAAATTAATAAATTCTTTGGCTTCTATTCGCCATCTTCCTGCAGAACGGGCTCGGGAACCAAGTCCTCATGATCTGAAATAGTTAGTAAGGAATGAGCTATACTACTCCAGTAAA